ATTGCAGATGAACAAATTATGGATAAAGATTTGTAAAATTTAAAGACACCAGCAATTTCCCTGAACTTCAAGCAGTATCGATTACCTTCTGGGAAGTCTTTGTGGTGTGAAACTTCAACTAATAGTATCAGACCATATACACTCTTAGACGGAAAAAAAAAAAAAAAAAAAAAAAAAAAAAAAACGCGCACCAAGAAGGAATTATCCGAATGGGACGAAAATCGGTAAAAGTGATGTACATGTACAGAAAAACAAATGTTTACAGTCTGAGAAAAATTGGATGATTTATTGAAGTGACAGAGCTTCACAAAGTGAAAAAGTCAGTAACGCGTTTGTCCACCTCTGGCACTTATGCAAGCAGTTATTCGGCTTGGCATCGATTGATAGAGGTTGCGGATGTCCTTCTGAGGGATATCGTACCAAATTCTGTCTAACTGGCGCGTTAGATCGTCAACATCCCGAGCTGGTTAGAGGGCCCTGCCCATAATGCTCAAAACGTGCTCAATAGGAGAGAGATCAGGCGACCTTGCTGGCCAAGTTAATGTTCGGCAAGCAGTAGAAACATGTGCAGTGTCGAGGAGAGCATTATCTTGCTCAAATGTAAGCCCAGGGTGGCGTGACATGAAGGGCAACACAACGGGCCTTAGAACTTCATCGACGTACCGCTGTGCTGTAAGGTTGCGAGGGATGACAACCAAAGGGGTCCTACTATGAAAAGAAATGGCACCCTAGACCATCACTCTTTGTTGTCGGCCTGTCTGCTGGAAGACAGTCAGGTTGGTATCACACCGTTGTCTTGGGCGTCTGCAGACTCGCCTTCGCTGGTCATTAGGGCTCTGTTCAAAGCGAGACTCATCACTGAAGACTGTTCTACTCTAGTCAGTGACATTCCAGTCAGAATGAGCCCGACACCGCTGCAAACGGGCTTGACGTTGTACAGAGGTCAATAGTAGTCGGCGCAAGGGGCGCCGTGACCTCAGCCCCCTTTCTGTGAGCCGCCTATGAATGGTCCTTGCGGTCACCTAAGCACTAATTGCACGTACAATTGATGATAATGATGCATCTGGGGCTGTGAATGCCGCTCTGACGATTACTCGGTCTTCACGTTCTGTCGTTTCTCTAGGGCTACCGCTACCTTCTTGACGCTGTGTGCGGCCACGGTTCACCCATTCCTGCCAACATCGTCTAATAGTGGCATCGCTCCTGCTCAAATGTCGAGCTATTTGCCGATAAGACCAACCGGCTTCTTTGAACCCAACTACACGACCTCTCTCAAATTTTGGCATGTGCGCATATCGTTCGCGCACCTGTATGTGAGGCATAGTTACTATCTACCAGAGTACACGAAATGAAATTCGTGAATAATTTATAACCTGGAATCGTAATTTCTCCTCTTAAATATCCTGCCAGTTGGCAGATCAGATGCGCTGTAGCGACAACCGTTCATTCATTGGCAGCCAAAATGTAAAATTTTGCATTTTTCGTCGAAACCTGTATGCATATCAATTTGTGTCCAATTTGCTTCATATCTTCTCGGTGCTTCCCCCTTTTTTTTTTTTGTTTTTTTTTTTTTTTGTTTAAGAGTGTATTTCTGACAGTTATCGCAAGAAAATATTTCATCAAATGCATAACATAGCCCATCCTGGCATTAAGTCATCTGTAAAGATCTGATCATCTAAATTTATTTGGCCACGTATCCGTAAAGATGCGCAGCTTTGGACTCGATCCTGTATGGCCTGCAGAAAAAGTAAAAGTAATCGGCAAACAAAATCAAGTTTCGGTGATTTTCAACAGCCTTCAGAAAGATTTTGTGACGTACATATTGATCTCATTGAACTCCCTACTGCCATCAAATGGGAATATTTACTGTAAAATTTTGTACGCCATGTCGCCTAGTCACAGATCGTTGATCGCAGTTTATTTCAGAGTTTGTTCAACAACCTATAAAAAATGTGTGGAATAAAATTACAACATATAACGGCTTACCATCCCCAAGCTAATGAAAAGATCGAGCGCCTCCATATATCTCTCAAGACTGTACTTACGGCACACAACAACCTGGCCTGGAGTGAAACACTTCCAACTGTTCTTCTTGGCCTACGCACAGCTATGCAAGAAGACTCTGCATACACCATTGCTCAAATGGTTTATGGACAAAATGTACGATTACCTGGAGAAAGTTTCCAAGATAGCACAACTCCTACACCACCTGATATTTTTGTCAAGAGAATTTAGAACCTCCTTACGATGGTCCTTTTCAAGTGGTTGACAAAAAAGAAAATATTTTACTGTAAAAATAAAAAACAAAGATGTTACAGTGTCTATTGATAGATTAAAGCCTGCCTATTTCTTGCAAATACCAGATGTTGCAACAAAGCAATCAATAACGTCAGTAAGACAACCTGTCAAACCTCCAACAAACTTACCTCAAATTAAAATCTTCCTGAAAAACAGTCGCGTATAAGACGGACAATAAAAACCCTCAGTCGATTTCGGATTAGCAATTACATGTATGTATAATATTTTTTTGTGAATAATGAGTTTTGAAGGTAATAATATGCTCTACTGTAACTTAGTTACTGGGAAAGGAGTACTATTGTGGCTTGAACTTATACAGAAATTGTAAATAATGGTTAATATCATTTTATTTGTTTTTGTTGTTTATGGAATGGCAACGAAAAGATTATTCAGTTTTGTTGTTCGAAACGGAGTTCTAATTATAAAGACTAATATGGAATCAGGAGCCAATATGCGTACTTGAATTTTCATTTCGTAGAATACTGTATTACATATATTTGAATATAAACATATTCCTCTTACTTTATTTTCGTGCTAATTTTATCTGAGAGTAGCCAAAAAGAAAGCACCCCCCCCAAAACAAAATCCGTAAATAAAAAAAAAAAATTAGCGAAATTTGATTTAAACGTAATATGCGAAACAACAGTTACGGGTACAGAGTAATTACAGTCCTCTGCGTATTAATGACTGGCAGCTGTCTGGCTTTTAAATGTACCTAAAAAATGGCTAAAGGGCCAAACGTTAAATTTAAAAACTCCTTAGAATTTTACTCTGCAGAACAACTTCATAAAAAAAAGTTATTACGTATAACAAAATTACAATGAAATAAGCAATATCCCTTAATACAAATATTAATTATCCTAATAAATAAATTAACCAACTTCCCTTTGCGAAATCTTAAGAACTCAAATGGTATAAAGGAGGTTAAGAACTTTGTTTCCTAAAAAATTCATTAAAAACTTTTCGATATCTTAAAGACAACGAAATGAGCAATGAATAACATAAAAGAATACAAAAAACAAAAAATTCTGAAAAGCAAAGTATAATTAACGATATTTTATCTTATATTTTGAAGAGAAAAAAATTACAATGAAATAAGCTATATCCCTTAATACAAATATTAATTATCCTAATAAAAAAATAATCAACTTTTCGTTGAAGGAAAAAAATCGTGCAAAACTTTTCAGTATTTTACAAATAGTGAAATAAGCAAAAAAACAACATGAAAGAAAAACTCAAAAAAAACAAAAAATTCCGCGCAGAATTTTTACACTGCAGAACAACTTTATAAAAAATTTTTTAAAAAAATCAATAAAAATGTATTATATGTATAAAAAATGACAATGAAATATGCCAATCTCTTAAAAACACCGACGTAAGAAATTCGATGAAAAATTGTTGCCAAACCCATATTTCTAAAAGAATGAAAATATTCAAAATGATGCGATTTCATCAAAAATCTATCAAGAACAATAAGACAGGAAAATTGTTGCTAAAATCACATTTTTAAAGATGTGAGATGTGAGAAGTGTACTCGAAAGCTTCATTTAAATTTAAAAAAAAAAAAAAAAAAAAAAAAAAAAAACGAAATATTATCATTTTTCTAAAATTCTTTTTGTAAAAGCAGTTACAAGGATGAACGTTTAACGTGTCCAAAAATAAAAATAAAAAAAAAAAAAAAAAAAAAAAGTACATTTTTAAAAATAAACTTTTTTAGAAAAAAACCCGTTGAAAAGGTGTTAAGCTCACTTTGTTAAATAAATTCGTATTGAATCGATTTATTGAAACACGGAATTTATTTTAAGTTCGTAAAATAGCTAAGTGCCTACGTTTCATGACGAAAATGGAGTGTGTGGAGTAAAATCTCGCTTCCTATAGCCGATTATGTCTCAAAATGACGCGATTTCTTCACAAAACATAAAATAAAAAAAATTCGAATTCGAATTTCGTAAAAATCGCTTCGAGGTGCACTGGCTCTTGTTTAGTTGCACCTATGTATCAAATTTCGTAGCCGTGGGTCTATTAGCTTACGCGCAGCGCGAACGAAAATGGGGGGGGGGGGGGGGGGGGGGGGGGGGGGGGGGGGGGGGGGGGGGGGGGGGGGGGGGGGGGGGGGGTGGGGGGGGGGGGGGGGGGGGGGGGGGGGGGGGGGGGGGGGGGGGGGGGGGGGGGGGGGTGGGGGGGGGGGGGGGGGGGGGGGGGGGGGGGGGGGGGGGGGGGGGGCATACACACACAGACAGACTCTTTCTTTTATTATATGTAGAGACAAGCACAATAAGAGTAACGTTTTTTCACGAGAATTGACAAAACATTTTCACCAGTGTATCGCTTGTAATAAAATATTAAAAAAAGAAAAACATTTCTTTGAAAAAAAAAGATATTTAAATGTTTAATTAATAAAATCTCAGATTTCTATTTTTCAAGTTTGTTTTTTCTCAGTGCAAAATTTAACATTATATTTAACAACTATAATTAAGTCGATACCTACGATAAATCTTGAGTTTTTGTATAGCAAATTATTTGACGTAAAAGGTATATTTCATTTATATTTTAACTCCTGAGAAAGAGTATTAAAGTGAATCACTACTCGTGAGAAAAATTATATCGTAAACTAAATACGATTTTAAATAAGGATTTGTTTTATACGAAAGTTGTTAGTGGCAACAATAGATAATGCAAAATTCAATATTTAGAGTCAGAATTACGTGTAAATGAGTGTTAAAAAACAAATAATGTTTGGGAAAATACTTTTCTTCTAGACTTAGTTTTAGTTACGTATTTTGGGATATGATGTTCACACAAAGGTCAGAAAATTTGATTGTCTTTGTTTTTATTATATAATATTTTTAAAATGCTTGGAGGCCTTTAATTAGACTGCAGTTGCATAATCTAAAATAACAGTTAAAAGTGCTCGCTCAGCAGTCAAATATGTTCATTGCACTTGCTCATCTTATGGGTACTTTTTAGTAATATTGAATAGGTATGTATGATTTCTATCTAATTTCATTTTATTCCAAAAAGTCTGTTTTTAATTAAATACCGAAAACTGGAAGAAATGTTATTTTCAAATCAAATAAAACTTATTTTTAAAAATGTGAAATTGAAAATAGTATTTTTTTAGTTATGTATTCAATAAGCTAACTGCTACTTAATTTTTTAATTATTCAAATATATGCTTTAAAATTTCGGCTAATATTCCATAAGCGGGGTAAGTTGGTGCCAAACTATTTTGGCCTTCAAAATTTGGCGCATTTTTTTGGCGGCAATGAAAGCACTAAGATGTGATTTGCAGTAGTGAAACGCCGTTATTTTATGTAAACAGAATAGTAAAATGAGGTGATAAAATACTAGATGAGTAAAACAAAGTTCAACAGCTTTGCAAGTAAAAACATAGTCCTATCTATATAATTCATCATAAAAATCGTAGAATGAACAATTCTTGTAAATAATTATTGAGTAAATAAATATATACACTTATCAGATCAGAGCACTACGAAGTGAGTTTTAAACGTAAACAGTATGGCAAATTTTTGTTTACAGTGGTGAACAGTGATTATTGTGTCTAAACAGAATAGTAAATGAAATTGATTAAATGATAAAACAACGCCGTGGAATTCAACGCAACAACTTTCGTTCAAAACTTTAAATAGTCCACATCTTTGATTGCCACATAACTAAAAATAATAATAATAATAATAATTAACTAAATAAAATTAAATGAAAAACATTCATTACTTCACGCCATCTGGAAATCCAACATTCTCTCCCACCGACAACAGCTTAACCTTCCTGCAAATATTTTTATAAATATAATATTAAATATACATATAATAATAATAATAATAATAATAAATAGTAAAACTGTTAAAAACAAACACAGTATTTCAAAATTAAATTTTAAAAAAATCTTATGGCTACACTAAATTTGCACTCTTAGAATTACCGAAATAAAGCTCTACGTTTGCCACCAGAAAACATACAGCCGGAAACCACAACCAAATCAAACTCGTACCAAATAAAAAAACTCTCGCCAAGTTTGGCGCTCACCCCGATTATGGAATATTAACCAAAATTTCGGTACTGTTCGGTTTCGAGGGCCGTAAAAAAATTGCAGCGAAAATGTATGCGCAAAAGCGCCAAATCTAGTAGACGCGCCCATTTAACAGCGCGCCAAATCTAGCGTACGCGCTGATTTCAGATTGCGTAAGTTTATATAGTTCTATATTTCTTAAGACGCCATTGAAATACTAGTTTAATTTTTAAATCCTTTTTTTTTTTTTTTTTTTAAATCCTTTTTTGATATTCTATGGATTTAACAATTTGGGAATTGCCCTGACGAAAAGTCGGCAATAGAATTTTGGGTAAAGTGCAGAATCACCCACTGCTTGACGCGTTTTTAAGAATTGCACATACTCGGTATTCATGTGCACATCGACCTATTTTCACTTGAAAAAAAAATCCTAGAATTGCACAAAAATGGCACTGCGCCCACCCTTGACTTTATCTATGTACACATCGACCTATTTTCACTTAAAAAGTAAAAGAAAATTAACAAAAATCCAATTGTTTTTACCCTTCTAAAAAGCGGCATACAAATAAGTGAGCGATTCTGCACTTTACCGAGAATATTTTCAAAGAAAAGGCATCATTCATTATAGAAAATTACGTTTAGAACAACCAACGAGATGAAATTATGCTTTTTAGCGATAAGTCGGTAGCGAAATAGCGATGATGCAGGCATCCATTCAGTTATGTTTAGCAATTTTTATGCAAATTATAATAATGATCTGAAATAGTTATTTACTATTATACTTCCATTCAGTCATGTTTAGCCTTTTTCATATAAAATTAACCTTTATATGAAATTAACCTTTCATCTAAATTAAAACATCAATCTTAAATAGTTATTTACTATTATACTTCCTTTCTTGCCGTTAGGTTCTTATTAGGGTTGCCGCAATTATTTTTGGCAGCATTGGCATCAACAATAGTTTGGCGATTTTTTACGGCCCTCGAAACCGAACAGTACCAAAATTTCTTATAATTTAGCAACAGTATATTAAATAGTATACATTTTTTACAGTGAAATCAATCATTTAAAAAAGGTTTAATTTCCCTCGTGGTTTGATTAATAAGTCATTAAGTTTACCCTTAGAGTTTAGCACATTTTTATATTCAAAGACGTATAGAATATTCAGACATATAGAAGATTTTCTTTTTATTCACTTACTTTTCATACCATAAACTAAATAAAAAATATCTCTTTTCCGTTGACATATCTCTGCTTTAAAATATACAGAAATTTGGAAAACCACATGAAACCTTCTAATATTTTTCAGAGTAAGAAATTACTTTTATTTTCATTAGGCATTTTAAGGTTATGAAGCATCACATAGAAATAATTAGCGAAAAAGAAAAAAAAAAAAAAAAGAATCAATCCAATTTAATCGAAAGAAGACACATAATATTTTTTTATATATGTAATTAAAATTTCTTAAAATTCAGAGCGTGAAATAAATTCAAATATTTCCCCCCCTCTTTCTAGCCAAAATTCTGGGAGTTTAAGGTTTTAAATAAGGCTTTCGAGAAAATGTCAGAGAAAAAAAGAAAAGGAGGTACTAAGAAAAGAAGTAAGACATTTTCAGCATTTTTTTTTTTTTTTTTTTTTTTATATTGAAGAGTTCAGTAAAATATTTTCAATTTTAGTGAGCATTTAAGCCTCTATACGTTTTTAAACTGAGTTGCTATACTTAAAAATTTATTTTAAACAGTAATTTATAAATTGAACAAGTTTACAATGTGCAGTTTCCGTATGTGAATTCTTAATGTTTAATGAGTATTTTTCCGTTTTGCCGGCGCAAGCGATAAAGTCGCCAGTAATGGTACAATCGATGCCAAACGAAATATCCTCGCTGGTAACCTTTTACTTTAACTTTTACATTTTCAAAACAAGTCGCAGCCATTTCTTATCAGATTGATTGTTTCTTTCAATACTAGCATACAATTCCATAGAATTTTTACCAGATAGTTCAATTTTATGCCCTAAGGCCATTCGCGGGCGATAATTAAGTCAATTAGGATGCAATCACACCGCTCACCCGATGGCGAAAATATAGAAAAGGCAAAGTCAAGGGTTAAATTCATCCATTCTAATGAGAACGTACTAGCGAAGTAAAGCACTGCGGTTTTAATTTCTGAGTAAGCTATTCGTACGAATTGAAATAATTCTTGCATTTAAACTTGTATTCCAAATTAAGATTTAACTTGAAATTAATGTTGATAATTATTGAGAGAATTAGATTTTTGTAGCGTAGTTTACGTGAGATAATATCACTTGGGGTCACGTGATATGAACAGGCGAATCAGGATGTTGTACGATGAAAGCATAGTATATTCTTAAATTAATGTCTTTTTACCAATTTATTGTCTTTATTTATTGGCTTTTTTACAAAATTTTAAACTACGTTAAAATATTTATACCTTCAAAATAAAACATTCTTAGAACTAACATTTGTCAACACTTTTTATGTGTATACTCTGTATTTTCGCCAATAAAGTCTACTTGGCGAGATTCGCGCCGGCGAAACGGAAAAGTACCGTTTAATGCTCCTTTATTTTCACTGTGTAAAACTGTGTTGTATTATTATAGTACAGTAAGACCCCGCTTAATGCTTTTTCGTTTAACGCTGTTTCGGTTTAGCGCTCTTTTATTTCGACCCGGGGATTCCCCGAAGTTGTACGCAGCACTAGGTTTTCAAATAACATATCCGAAACAGTGTAGTTGTGTTTCTTGTTTGGCGCGGTGCTGTACGGACGCATTTTTATCATTTGAAACATTTGTTGACATTATTGTAAGTATAAATTTATATAATACTATAACGATTAATACAGTGGCAAATATTGTGATCTTTAGTTTTTATCATGGATGATAATATAAAAAAGAAAAGAAAGCAACCAGAAGAAGCATTCACTGGAAACTAAAATGCAAGTGATTAGAAGATTAGATTCTGGTGAACATCAATCTCAAATTAGTGCTGCATTGAATTTTGCAACTTCAACAATAAGGACAATTCTTAAAAATAAAGAAAAAATACTGTCATCGGCAATTGCAACTACGTCAAGCTCTGCAACTAGAATTACCCGTTCTAAAAATAACATAATAGAGGAAATGGAAAAACGACAGTCTATATGGATTGACGACGAAATTGAACGCAATATGCCATTAAGCCAATCTATCATAATGCCTTCTTGATAAAAAGGGCAGAAAATTGGAAACACAGAATAGACTGAATGATCTGACTGACTGAGAATTTTATTTGTTTTTATAAGTATATTCGTTTATATTGTTTTTATTTTTGTAAGAAATAAATGTTTGGTTTTATTTTTATTAAAAAACATTATTAAATTTAATACCTAACCAATTTTCTATCCATCTTCCCCTAACCCCATTATTTACATGTTAAGATAGCCTCATTTAGCGCTGTTTCGCATTACGCACTACTTTGATGGAACGTATCCCCCGCGTTAAGCGGGGTCTTACTGTACATCATTCCTCAATTTGTTGATAACATTTGTATTATAGGATCTGGTCTTCTTCGAGACAATGCTTTTAGACCAGACCTCTAAAAGACAGCTAGTGACTTTTCACTGTGTCATATAAATACCACAGAGACAGATGAAAGGATGTAAAGGACCCTTTGATTTATCCGAATAAAGTTTAACAGACGGCACCAACTCATGTTTACAGAAGCGAACACTTTTGGCTTAAAATCAAAGATAATGGATAAACATAAAATTATTGAAGTTTAAGTATAGCCTAACGGCTTAACTAGTGCCCAAGCTGGCTCTGACCGAAGTCGGCATAAATAAACCTAATGGCAAGAATAACTCAACGCCGCAAAATTCTAATAGAGGTGGTGTGGTGTGGTGTGGTGGTGTATTTAATTATGGCAAAGCACACTAGGGCTATCTGCCTAAGGGGAGGGATGCCTTTCGTGGAGGACTTTCTAAGGGAAACTGGCTCGTATACACGTTACACATGGGGAAAACCACGAAAACGCCCATGCAGCCAGCCCGTTCGCGGGATTCGAACCTCGGACCGAACTACCAGTGTTCAGCGACTTTACCGCTCGGCCGCTGGTGGGCCAATTCTAATAGAGAGAATCAAAGTTAGCAACGTGGCCTTCGAGCAGGTAGAACACGCTCTGATTTTACCTTCAAAAAAACCTTTCTTTAAATACTTCCTTCATTCTACTTACTCTGAAAATTTGAAAACTTACATTCTGGCAGGTAAATAAAACGAGGCTTGATGGATAATTAATTTAACTTAAAATAACGGGTTAGAAAATTGAAATCAACCTATTATATATAAGAATCAGCTCTAAACATATTTAATTATTGTGTTCGCACGAATATAAGACATCTTCACATATGAGACGACTTTGCAGTTCTGATGGGGTTTTACAAGGAAAAAAATGTATGGAAAAAAGTAAGGATGGCATGGAGAACTTGATAAATCAAATATGTTTAACAAGAAAGATAATTGAAAGTTATAAATGTCTTCGAGGTAAAGCTCAGTAGTAACATATATTAAATGCAGGTAATATGTATTTATTTGAGGTAAATATATTTATTTAATTTAACATAAAAATTAAGCAATAATGTTAGTTATCTTAATACTTTCTTAATATTTGTTTGTGCATACAAGGCCCGTATTATTATTAAAAACGGTATTTGTTTTTTTTTCGGGGGGGGGTATACTAGTCATGGTATACTAGTTTTCTAATTTTAATTTCAGATTTAAAATTCTCAATTGTATTTTCGTTTTCAGTGTTAACTTTAAAAACATGTAAATTTTTCTTTCATGGACTACTCTTTAATATAATTATTAAAATGGGTACTATTCGGTTTCGAGGGCTGTAAAAAAATTGCAGCGAAAATGTATGCGCGAAAGCGCCAAATCTAGTAAACACGGCCATTTAACAGCGTGCCAAATCGCGCGTATGCGGTGATTTCAGATTGCGTAAGTTTATATAGTTCTATATTTCTTAAGACGCTATTGAAATACTAGTTTAATTTTTAATTCCTTTTTTGATATCCTATGGATTTAACAATTTGGGAATTGCCTATGATGAAAATTCTGCGATAGAATTTTGGGTAAAGTGCAGAATCACCCACTGCTTGACGCACTATTAAGAATTGCGCTTACATATCCATGTACACATCGATTTATTTTCACTTTAAAAAAAAATCCCAGAATTGCACAAAAATGGCACTGCGCACTCCCTTGACTTTATCTATGTACACATCGACCTATTGTCACTTAAAAAGTAAAAGAAACTTGACAAAATTCCAATTGCTTTTACCCTTGTAAAAAGCGGCAAAGAAATAAGCGGGCGATTCTGCACTTTACCGAAAATGTTTTCAGAGAAAAGGCATCATTCATTATAGAAAATTATGTTTGAACAAACAACGAGATGACATTATGCTTTAGCGATAACTCGGTAGCGAAATATTGTATGAAATTAACCTTTCATCTGAATTAAAACATCAATATTTAAATAGTTATTTACTATTGTACTTCCTTTCTTGCGTTAGGGTTGCCGCAATTACTTTTGGCACCACTGGCATCAACAATAGTTTGGCGATTTTTTACGGCCCTCGAAACCGAATAGTACCTTAAAATGTTTTGATTAAGTATGCCTTCAAAAGCTGATGTTTTGCACTTGGTAAAAAGTTTTTATGCTATTATTCTATTTTTTGTATTTTATGCTATTTAGAGTTCCTCATAGATCACTCAAAACAAAAATTGAGCACGTATTGGTTTTACGCCATTAGTAGCTTATTTTAAAGTCACATTCAATTTGTGTTATTCAGAACTGATTATATGCGCATGCTTATTCTATATTATTAAAAAAAGTTAAAGACTTCGTTTTTAGATATCCAAAGCATTCTAAAATAATGAATAAAAATAACATCATATTTTGCAATTGATGGATGACCAAAGGGATGTATGATTCTTAATGATGTTTCCTATACTCACACTTCATTCACCTATAATACTTCTGAGGCTCTGAGGCTATAGATATCGCGATTGTCAGGGCAGACATTTTTCCTCAATGACCAGGGTCAACATGCTAAATAACATTGAAAGTGATAACGTCCCGATTCTCATGGAATTTAAGGGAAAAAGAAAACAGCGAGCAACTGACTGAATTTCAGAAAATTGTCCTTAAAGGCTTGCAGCCCTCTAGCGGCAACTGCTACGTGTCTTATTATGCACAAAATGTTCCTATTTTAAAGCCTCTTCTGGAAAATAGAAAACACCTAATTGAAACTTCCAACGAAAGGGAGACTGAAACAAAGACTTAACAAGGATTAATTAACAAAGACTGAGATTAACAAGGACTGAGATTTAAAAAATTAATTCTGAGATCAAGAAAACTTATGCCTATGTGTAAATATCAAGATGGAAGGAAATGTACGGCACATTGGACGCCAGAACATCTAACTCAAGACTTTAGAGAATCGTCAAGCTAACATAGAGCAGGAACAGCTGTGAAAAATGTAATTCAGTAATACAAGATAGAACGTAGACGTAAAAGGACAAACTTTCCCTGATGACAAAACAACTACCAATGGTCTTGCGGGGCACTATCAATTAACAAGTAAGCTTGATTGTACAGGCTGGCGCAGGGAAACGGGAAATTTCGAAATAACGTCATTTCGACGAATAAATTCCTAAAACTAGTAATTTATTAACGAAATGCATGTATTCAGCATGCCATTTGTGTTTTCACAATCAAAATGTCCAAAAGTGTCTCTTTACTTTTTAAAGATGACATCGGAAAGATGTGCTCCCATTCGGCGTTCCCACTCTAACAGCCTGTTATGAAAACTCTGGAATGCGCGGTGTAGCAAATCTTGGGGAATGGCAGTGATTTCTTTTTCAATGTTCTCCTTCAGTTCATGGATTGTTGCAGGACGTGTACGGTACACCTTGCCTTTAGATATCTCCGTAGGAAGAAGTCGCACACACTGAGATCAGGGGATCTCGCAGGCCATTCAATGTCACCATTACGTGAAATAATGAGTCTTCCAAACAATTGACGAACTGCTGCCATCGATTGTCGAGCAGTGTGTGACGTGGCTCCGTCCTGCTGAAGATGCACGCTGTCGATCGAACGGATCGGCGAGGACTCTCGATTGCAACTCTAACAGCTTCAATGTTCTCTGGGGTACATACCATTGGAATGCCACCTGGAGGTTTCAAGACAGATCCTGTTTCTTCAAAATTACGCACCCACGTTGTATTCGCATGCGCAGATGGGACACGTCCATGACTTCCAAGCCGGTAATGCTGTCGAAATATCCTCTGCCCGGCAGTCGCACTATCACCATTTTTATAAAACGCTCTCACGGCTACTGCGCGTTCCGCACCAGTCCAATGATCCATGATTACTAAATGGCAATGCGTTCACAACAATTGTGCAAAGTTTCGAACAACTGCCGGCTCTACAGTGCTGCCAACTGTAACGTTCAAAATTTCCCGTTTCCCAGCGCCACCCTGTATAAATGAAGATAGGCCCATTTTGAGAAAAGCACGAAATATAATCCATAGATGTGTTTGTGATCTCGGATACCCAGACTTGATCAAATATTTCTCCATTCAGAAATTTCTCCTAGCGATGGCCCTCCTTGATCTGAACAAATCTCCTGACCCTGATGAGCTTCGTGATCAAATGCTCGAAAATAATGCCATAAAGGACTACTTGACATTTTTAATCTCTCTTGGATTAAAAGGAGGCTACTATCGGAATGAAAAAGAGCCGCGGTTATTCCAGTTAAAAAATCGGGCAAGAAGACTATCCCCCCCTGAAGACTTCAGACCTATTGCATTTATATTTACAGCATGTAAAATAATCTTTAATTAGAGTTCAGTTTTATTCGGGCAGCAACAATGCCCAGCGAGTAATACGGCTTTAGAAGGGTACACAGCACTACAAGTCAGATGTTATATTTCTGCCAAACTGTAAGGGACACCCAAAATCTTAAACCTACCCATCATTCTGTGCCTGTTTTATTACTTATTTGCTACCATCAGTGAAGATTTTGGTCGATGACAAAATCTTAACAGGAGAAGAAACTAGAGAACAGTAAGTGAACGTGAACTCTTGATAGTCCCTGCTGGGAATTCAAGCCATAACATGTAGGATCATTACGCTTTTTTTTTTATGCAAGAGACGTGACGAATATGCAATGTCCTCTCTGACCTGAACCTGGACCTCTCGAATACGCACTGAATGTACTACTGTTACACCGCGAAGACATGCTGGATGGAGGGAGAAAATACCTTATGTAATCCCCCCTTTTAAAGGGCGATTGGTTCCCTGCCAACTTCTGCCAACAACTTACGAAAGCCTTCTTCAGAGTTTGGAAGCATAAACTGATTATAAAACTACGTGATGCTTTCAACATTCGATGCAATACATTGACTTGGATATTGGACTTCTTCCGGCACACATCTGTCAAGGTGAAAAAGTTAATAAAACTTTTTAAAGTCCATATGAACTTATCCAAGGAATTCCTCAGGGATCAGTCCTTAATTCGGTCTGTTTCGCTATATACTTGGCTGGTATAGAGAGGGTGTCTTTTCTGGAATTAGAATAGGCATGCTTGCGGAAGACTGCTCTCTGTTGCTCTAGAACTGATACTGATGAAATTGAATTGAGACTTTATGACTGTCTGGCGGATTTGTCAAACTTTGTAACCAAGTTAAAACATCGTTTTAGTCAACTAAATCATTGGTTTCCTTCTTCACTACCAATAAACCCATATATAGATATCAGCCAAAGCTAGATAATCAGAAGCGTATTTATGAGAAGCACCCCAGATATCTGGATTTCATTTTAGACCCTGATTTGCATGTCATAAACATATTGTTTTGAAAAGTTGAAAAAAAAAAAAAAAAAAAACTTGAAGATTCTTAAATTCATCGCTGGTAGAGACTTAGAGACTGGAGAGCTGATTCTGTTACCCTTAGAATCAAATATTTGGCATTCATCCGGCTCATTCTTGAGTTCGGATTTCCACTTCATTGCTGTGTTTCTGATACCAACCTGAAGAAATCATAACAAGTCCAATTAAGCGTTGCCTGCATCCTTACTGGTCTGAGGCATAGCTATCCTTTTTGAGGTGGATTTATTCAATTTAGAAGACATGCTAGCCTTCTAAAATACTGTAACAAACTTTCTAGTTATGGCCGACACAACAAAACTTCAGTATACTTCAGTATAAGTGGAGAAAATATCAATGATTGAAGAAAACCAGTCTTTTCAGTCAAATGACGTCTCAGCACTTACCTTACTGTGACCTTTTAACCCCATGGTTACGTTTATAAGGTATTTTCTCCGTCCTTCCAGCAGCCTTCGTGGTGAATGGTAGCACGCTCGGCTCGTATTTGAAAGGCCCAGGTTCGGGTCCCAGAGAGGGCACTGCATATTCGTCACGTCTCCTGCATAAAAAAAAACTTAATGATCCTTCATGTTATGGCTTGAATTCCCAGCAGGGACTATCAAGAGTCCACGTTCACTTACTGTTCTCTAGTTTCTTCTCCTATTAAGATTTTGTCATCGACCAAGATCTTCACATGGTAGCAAATTTGCTGATAGTGCAGGCAGAGGAATTTATATTGAGACTCCTCAGGAAAAAATGACTTTTTGCCAAAGTATCCCAGATTTCTATTCGATTTTCAGAAGTGAATTAATAGAAACTGACTTGGAACTCGAAGCTATTCTAATCAAAAACGAATTTGGCGATCTATGGATCTTACCTGATTACCATAGTTCCCTACATCTTAGCAAACGGATCTCAGTGAACGATAAAGTCAGTGTTTCTATCCTGCATAAATTAAAGCTGATTTTGCTGCACCGAGATGTCATCTCCAGTTCATTCCATCTCCTATAGACGTTTACGGCAACGAAGTAGCGTCCGAAATGGCAAATTAAGGTTGTACTCAGTTTACTCCCTCCTTCTCCAGCTTTAATTTTTTTGGAGCTATTGTCGCTGAAAAGTCACAAAATATGGTGGAGTGGATGGCGCCGACCACCCATCACTGGTATCTAAGTATTAGGCCAGGAATGGATCTAACCCTTAACCCTTATATGTGGCAAGGGCTGGCGGACTGCACTTTCACGACTAGCCAAATGGACAAAGTGCCTTTCTTTCTATGCGGGCAGGAATGTCTTCGACGCCTGAACCAAGTGCCACCAACATGAAGCTTCGGCCGAACATATGTTGGATTGTTTAGGTCCCTCAAGAGATGACAAACGAAGGCATTTCGAAAAGTAAAGATACACCGTACGCCAGAGGAAAAGAAAAGTTTTGGTGAGCAAGTTGGCAACACAGGTGTTAACTTTGAACCGTTAGCTTGCTCCTCGCGGTCGTTCGGCATTTCAACGTTGATTCTGGTTGGAGTAGGTCGTGTTTAAAATGGCTGCGCCGATTCAGAATCCCGCCAAATGTGAAGTGCGCTCCGTCATATGTTTTCTTCGTGCAAAAGGTCAGCGACCAGCGGATATTCACAAAGAAATTTTTTCTGTTTATGGGAACATTATAAATCGACAAAATGTAACGAAATGGTGTCGTCATATCTCTGAAGGTAGGACCGATGTTCATGACAAACAAAGAACAGGTCGGCCATCCGTGATCTCTGATGCCCTTCTTCAGAGAACAGAGGAAGCAATTCGTGCGAATAGACGTCTCAAATTGAAAGAATTGCATCAGATCATACCGGAAGTGCCAATGACAACTCTTTATGAAGTTGTGACTGTCAAGTTAGGGTACAGGAAATTGTGTGCGCTCTGGGTTCCAACAGGCGGCAAACTTCTATGACTGTGGGATACAAAAGCTTTTGCACCCTTTTGGATAACGGGGGTGATTATCTCGAAAAATAATAAATAATCCAGTTAATAAGATGTAACTCACGTTTTCTAAATTTTTTTTTTTTTTTTTTTTTTTTTTTTTTTTTTTTTTAAGGAATGCGAGCCATTGTATCTTTACTTTTCGAAATGCCCTCGTCTTTCCAATTCCCTTTTTGTTCTTGACTTTCTTAGAGTCAACGGACATTCGTATCTTGTCTGATTTCATCAGACTTTTGGAGTATAAGCAACAACAAAAAGGGGAAAAAAAAAAGTTAAATTTCATTTGAACTTATATCTACCAGGGTAAGATATCATTTCTCATATGGCTAACAGCAGCAATACTTTTGATAGTAGTCTGTGTATTCGCACTCTCTAACGAAAATTCCTTAACATAATGTTCATAATTATTTTCATTAGCATAAATATTTTACATTAAAATTATTTCATATTTTAAAAAGTTGTATATATATATATATATATATAGACATTAGCGTAAAAAATATAAGATCCTATGAGACAAATGAATCGGAGAAAATATTGTTTTTGTCTTATTAAATCATATAAACATGCTTCATATCAAATTTTAAGTAGAAGTTATTAAAACATTTGGAATGAACTCTTTCTTTTCTCTGTTCAGGTTCATATTGCCGGTGTCGTAAGAAACAAGCAAATTCAAATCTATGTTGCTGGTGTTGTAAGAAAAAAGAAAGTGACAATGAATCATATGAGAGAGAAACCACTTTAGATTCAGCTCAGGTAGCAAGTCCTACCGAGCCCATGGTACAATCATCAGTTGATTCGTCACCGGAAACTAAGACTGATGTGAAAGAGCCTGAACAAGAAAATACATCCGCACAAATTGAGGAAACCGAATTGGTATCTAGTAATCCTGTATCACATTCGTCTGCGGCAAAAAAGGACACCAAAAAGTCTGCATCCAAATCAAAAAAACCCAAAAAGTCTGCATCAGCTGAAAGTTCATCAAATCCTCAGCCATGGCCTGCTACAGATGACATAGAAACAAATGAAGAGGAAACGGATGCTACTGAAACTGCAGAAAATGCAGCTGAAGATAATCCGAAAGTTTTACTAGATAAAACTGAGGACGATGAAGCAGAAGATGAACTGAGAGAAGATAACACAAAAAATATAAACAAAGAGAATAATGCACCTGGCGAAGACGACAGTAAGAATGAAAACAAAGAGGAAGTTAAAGCTACAAATTCAGGTGTAATGACAAACATGATTCAAAAAATAAGAAAAGGAAGCAAAATATTTTCTAATAATAAATAGAACATGAATTCCGAATATTTTCTCAAAACGGCACACCTAATTGAAAAGATGGAATGCACGTGAATTCCGAAGATAATTTTTATAAACATTTCTTTTCCTTTATAAACATTACTGCAAATGAGCATTTCCATATTTTCCTTTGTGTAATAAAAAAGTGGTTTCACATGAAAACTTGTATCTTGCAAGAAATTAGGTACAAAAATGAAAAATATGTAAAATTAATGCTCAAAAAAACTACTCCAAGATTGAAATTTGGGAACCATTTGCTTTATGTTATGTACAAAATTATGCATTCGTAAATCGAATTCCAGTTTGCATAAACGAAAATATCTTTATTAGGTATTTTTAGTATAATAAGGCGAATCATCTTCTTTATGAACAAATCATTTCGTTTAAAAAAGTATTCCCTATTTTATTTTATAATTTTTTTTTAGAACATGCCTTCTTTTTACAACAAAAACTCAGCTGAGTAACATTTTAAGGTGGGCTTTACCTAACACCTGTTGAATTTAGCTGAATACCTCATTTTCTGTGATCAAGAAAGAATTTTATTCTCATAGCTAATTTGGTCTGTATTGCAATTCAATCAGCCTTCAAGAAATAAAATGAAACTTAAAAGTTTATATGATTTGTAGAATTATACAAACAAAAAATTATACATTTATATGTAAACTGCTTGCAAAGAATTAAATTCAATGTAAGAATGATTAAAGTAGTATTTATATAACCGAAAGTTGCACGACGAAAGAAGTTGAGAGAAGTTGCACGACTTGCACTAAAAAAATTTAAAACTTTATTACGGTTGCTTGCGAGGAATTAAACCAAATATAAATATCAGTAAACGTATGGCAGTACCAAGACAAATGCGTAGCTTCTTGTAAATAACGCGTTAAAATATAATGTTTTTAATTCGGATGTTTAAGTTAGCGGTGTGTACCCGAAATACAGGAGGTTATATTTGGCTACCCTATGTTAACGCCAGCTGCCTCTTCATATCAAGAAATCAGCATTTTGCCAAAGTATGATCCAAAGTAGAATTACAAATACAAAAGGTTTAAAACAATAATCCAAACACAAACAATAATTTCGTCAAAACTAGGTATACAGAGGCTGTTCGCACATTTTTTAGACGATGTATATTGTATTCACAGAACTAAATTACATAAAATTCTTGTGTTTTAAATGTTCTATTTGACATCCCTTATTCTGAACTATCTTTCGACACCGCAATTTCCAGGATAATAATGCCTTTTGAAGTTGGCAGAAGAGATATTCTATCCCATTCCTCCCGAACAGCTTTCCAGAGTCTTGTTAGGGTTTTGATACAACGTTTGGATATTGCAGTTATTAAAAGTCCGAAAACACAAAAATCCATAGGTGATACATCGGAAGATTTAGTAGGGATATCAGTGAAGGATATGGCCTTGATACCAGTTTTTTGTTCCATTTCTTTTAGGAAATTTACAGTGGATTTTGATGCGTGACTGCTAGCTTTGTCCTGATGGAGTCTCACAGATGGATGGCACTGTGGGTAAAGCGATGGTATTTCATTCAGAAAAATTGGCGATAAAATATGTTCCTGATAGTATTTGGAGTTAATCTTGACATTTTTTGGCACTCTCTTTATTTTTAATTTGCCATCATAAGAAAAACCAGCAACAATCATGAATCCCTTGGGAAAACTTTCTTTCGATTCTTTGAACCATGTACTTAAATTTTTTTCTATCCTTTTATGATAATAAATGGCTCTTTTTTTGTTACAATCATTGTGACAATTGTTTTCCATTTTTCTTCATTTTTTCGCTTTCTTAAAATTTAAATCAACGTTTATCATTTTGTTTACAGTGGACACCGAGCATTTTAATGATTTTGCAACTGTCCTTTGACTAGGGGAATTTTCTTTTAACATTAAACAACGTACCTTTGCAATAGTCGAAAATGTCCGTTTTTTCCTTGGATACTTGTTTGGAATTTTTGTCCTACTTGAGGCTCCAATTTGACGTTTTTTTCTTTCTTGTTGATAATATTACCTATCGACGCTTTAGATATCACAAAACCATGACTCTCACATCGTTTTTAGATAACGGAGTATGCATATTTCTCTTCGGAAAGAGCGTAAATGTAGCCTTCGAACCACTGCTTTGTTAAATTCGCCATTTTGAATAAAAACAAAACTTTCAAGTCACAGACGATAATTTTGACATTTAAAAACATAGTACAATTGCAATTACTTCTTTTGCAGGAAACGATTTTTTATTACCGCTTACAGAAATTTTCTAAAGTATGTGCCAACAGCCTCTGTAAACTTCGATTTTGAATTTCCACGGAATATCGTTTGATTCTGCAAAATTAACCTAATGGTAAGAGTTTTGAATTTTTAATCTCTAACTCCAGAGGAGTTTGGATTCTCGCCTTCGGACTCTGTTTATCTCTTAAAATGTTTTATTACCGCAATACGATACCTTAACACTCTACTAATGAAGCAAAACTTTATTCGACAAATATATGAGCAATAAAGTTCTACGATAGGCTTAAACATCTCACGGCTGGATTCTGGCTTAGTCGCTAGATAAGTTCCCTACATTTGTTACCAATGCAAAATAACTAAATAGTGGCATAAACATTTAAACTGTACCTAATTTACAGTCTGGTGAAAGCCGACGAAAAAATAGAAAGTACTGAAAAGAATTAACATAAAAATACTTTGATCATTTAAATTGAAGCTTACGGAATAAAATGTTCGGAATATACTTAAGTGAAATGTATGAGTTAAAAATTCAGCTTTTTAAAATTTTACAAAAAGAATATTAACGTTTAAAAATTTATCTGGAGGAATTTAAACTAAATTTTTTTCTGAGGAAATACGAATTTTTAAAATTAGTTTCTAAGGATTTTATTTTGTTTGGAAAATATTTTTTCCTAGTTATGGTTATTGAAAATTTATGTGGATAGATGAAAATCTAGGTGATGAGTTACTAAATCGGGTGCATCTATGTTTTTGATGAGTATTTGTAATTATTAGCCCAAAGGGCAACACCCCAGAAGGGCTATTAATTTCGTTTTGGTATTTTGCGTCGAAAACTTTAAAGTCCGTTTCACTTTTCAAATTCTTGCCACCAAATATTATCGCCCTGTGTAGTATTTAAAGAAATTAAATAGTGAGGAATCTGCATAAATGTATCTATGCTTCTCGCATTGTGATAAAACAGCGGTACCTAGAGCTATCAAATTTTGAATACCGTAATCCTCCACAGAATATGGGCATTTGGAGGTCCTAATTTGGAATTTGGAATTTGTTTTTAATATCGATTTCATATTTTGTAAAATTCTAACGAATTCTTGATTAAAAAACTCAACGCTTTCAAAGCGAGCAACGACAACACTGTGCGGGGAAAAAGACTATTTATCTCCAGCGCGCGAGACTGTGTGTTGGAAATTCTAAAAATATGCTCACTTTGAAATCATTTTGCGATATTGCTGTTGAATGGAATTTTATGGTTCAAGGGCAAAGAACATGATTAAGACACAATAACACGCCGAATAAATACTAATTCAGAAGTCAAACAACAAAAATCAGCGTTATATTTACAAAATTTTCACAGGACTAGTTTCGATGGTTTTACCGAACCACCATCCTCAGCTGCAAAACCGCAAATGAACAAGATAATTATCTCAAACACTAAAAGGCACACTCTTGTTTTAGGAGATTATAAAAATTCTGTTGTCATTCCCTTCTTTCCATCAATTAGCTATAAAGTTGCACATATTTTGCAGAAATTTAACTTTCGGGTTGTTTATTCTCCCATCAATAAAATTCCGAGTTCCATACTCAAGGACCCCATTCCGAATATGAATTCCTGGGGCATTTATAGGATTCCTTGCCAGTGTGGTTTAATTTACATTGGCCAAACTAAGAGAGCCTTAAAATTTCGCGTCAAGGAACATGAGGCATATGTTAGAAAAAAGGAAACACAGAAGTCTTCTGTTGCTTAACATTGTTGGTCCGAAAAACCACACTTTCATTTTTCTGCTGCCAAAATTATTCAAAAAACATCTTCCATTGGAGAACTGGATTTTCTAGAGGCATTTCACATTCATAAAAAAAAAAAAAAACTTTCTGTTCTAGTTAGCGATCCTAATTCCAATCCATTACTCTCGGCTTAAAGAAATTATGTTTTAGTTCTGGTTTCACCAATAGATGGCGCCACTTGCTTATTCTTGTCCAGGCTTTCTTATCTTATCTAATCATTATTTCCTATTTTGTTCATTTGCGGTTTTGCAGCTGAGGATGGTGGTTCGGTAAAACCATCGAAACTAGTCCTGTGAAAATTTTGTAAATATAACGCTGATTTTTGTTGTTTGACTTCTGAATTAAAGAACATGATATTTAATAAATAAAGGTAACACACAAAACGTTCAGAAAACGCCCCTTTGGGTGTAATGTAAAATCTGTAAGCTTTCAGATTTACTTATTTATTTATTTACCGGAAACAGTTCTTTTAAATTTAATTAAACGCTGAAGACATGAACCGTCAACATGCTTTTCAAATTAAGATTTTCCTTCCTCTGTTAGGAGATAAGACACTGGCATCATTCTCACTTTAAATGTATGTGAAACTGCAGACTATATGGGACTTAACACTAATATCTACGGGTGTTCGTTCGCTCACTCGTACAAGGCAGCCAGGCTTTGTTTCCTTATACCTTAGATATACATACACTTCTATAAAAATAAACTCCGAAGAGCAAACTCTCTATTCAGTAAAATAATCGCTATGCTTTGATGACTTAAAAACAAGAAAATTCTATATCTTTACATGCAATGAGGGGTTCTAATCCAAAAGGAAAATTGTCGGATTTAAAAAAATTAAATTGTGAATTTTATGCTACATATATATGTAAAAGATCCAGATTGTAATGATTAATTTAGTGCTCTCTCAAGGAAAGAGGGGAAAAGAAAAGAGGCATAAATAGTATAAGAAATAAACAATTAGTCTTCGAAAAACAAACTATTAAAACACTATCTAAATAAAATGCAAAGTAAAGAGTTCGTAAAGAAGAAAATTACCTCCTTAAGAATCTGCCTGAGAAATACAGTGAAAGTGTTTGGAGCGCCCTGTAGCGCGATCTAATAGCCGAAATGGCACCAAACTTGGTATTTAGACTAATCAAGACATACAATCGTACAGTTAAATTATTAATGTTTATTTACTACATTAACTTCCCCGGTGAGGAATTAGACCACA